CGTTATCCTTGACGTGAGACAACTTGAAGATCCCGGCGTTGTTCACCAATACATCCAATTTGCCAAATGTTGTGATCGTTTTATTCAGAAGTCTCTCCAAGTCGTCGCTTTTGGTCACATCTGCCACGACTTGTAATGGCTAACCAATGATTGTAATGTTATTATATAATATGAATAATTAATTCACAGACAGACGTTAGAGCTTGGTCAACTTATTAATAATATAAGTTATACTTTCATACAAATGAATGGAGAATAACACATGAATCCATTTTTATTTAAAACCATTAACGCCTGTCTGTGAATGTATAAATCATATGATGTTATCAATTAAATCAAACCTTAAGTTTGTTGGGTGATAATTTTTGCACTTCCCTGGCCACTCGTTTAACTTCAGCGGCTTTCCTCCCGGTGACCACAACATTGGCACCCAATACAGAGAATAGTTTAACAATACCCTCCCCTATGCCTGAACTGGATCCGGTGACCAGTACTACTTTACCCGTGAAATTGCTTGAATTCTTTGCCTGTTTGTAGTCATCATTGCTCACAGCATTTACTATATAAACAAATGTGAGAAAATATATAAAATAAATTGAATTCATGTTTAATTTATAAGTAAATTTGAATTTACTATTGTATCAAATGTGTGTTTAAAGTGCCCAACAAATTGTCTTTATATAGGAATTGAACGCAAATTTTCTTAAAATAATTGCAAATCAATATTTTTCGAAGATTTTTTTCACGAGCTTTCTTTATATTCAGTGGTCGTATGCACTCTAATGGTCTTATTTTGCAATTATTTATAATATTATTGTTCCTATTGTAAGTGGTGTCATGATTATCATTAGCAATCATTCATTACGAAAGCTCATCAATAGCTCATTTTGAATGTTCATTGCTCATTTTGAACATTCAAAATGTTTAAATTTAAATTTCATTCAAACAGAAAGATTTGAATAATAAGTTATGCTACAAGATTATGTTATTTTAGGACATTTTCACTAAAAGTTAAGGATTTAATCATTTCTAAACATTTCTATGAATATAATAATGTTGACTAACTTTTACCGTAAGAGCGCATGTTTAGGATTCATAAAACCAGTTATAATATGATAATTAGTTGTTTCTATAGAAACTAATGGATAATAAATTTGAACAAACTGTTATTTAGCAAAACACTTTAACTCTTAACATTTAATTCATTTTACAGTATAAGTAACTGCAATAGAGTTTTACTATTGTTGACTTTGTAATTTTAAGTTTGAAATTCAAACTTTGAATTCAATTAGGAATAATAATTAATTAATAGCATTCAAGAAATGGTTAATTTAAGGTTTTTGGGCGGATATCTCAAAGAGTTGACACAAAATGTGTTTGGATTGAGGAGTAAATGCCAGAGTACTCGACGACTTGACGGTCAGGTTGTGGTGATAACCGGTGCCAACACTGGTATCGGCAAAGAGACTGCACTTCAACTGTCACTTCGAGGAGCAAAGGTATGACTTATTTATATTATTTATTAATTAATTAATTATAAAAGTTTTGTTTATATTTTAGATAATCATCGGATGCCGTGATGTGAACAAAGCTAACGGTGCCGTCGATGAGATACGTGCGAAGAACCCAAACGCCAACTTAAATGTACTAAAACTGGATTTGTCTTCATTGGCATCGGTTCGCGAGTTTGCGAAGAATGTGTCACTAAATGAGTCCAATATAGACATACTTATCAATAACGCTGGGGTCGGGATGTGTCCCGAATGGCAGACCAAATTCATTGGCATCGGTTCGTGAGTTTGCGAAGAATGTGTCACTAAATGAGTCCAATATAGACATACTTATCAATAACGCTGGGGTCGGGATGTGTCCCGAATGGCAGACCAAAGAGGGCTATGAAATGCAGTTCGGGACCAATCATCTAGGTATTAAATTGTTGCTCATTTTTTACTACCAAATAATTGAATGTCTTAATTTTAGGTCACTTTCTACTGACTCTATCACTGTTACCACTGTTGCAAAAATCACCCAAAGCTCGAGTAATAACGGTGTCGTCCAATACACATAAATTAGCGACAATTAACTTTGAAAACATAAACCTAAGGAACGGTGTCTATAATGGTTTGACGGCATACACTCAGAGCAAACTGTCCAATGTACTATTCACACGAGAACTGGCCCGAAGGTTGGGTCCCAACAGCACCGTCACCACATATGTCTTACACCCGGGAACTATCAAAACTGAAATGTCCCGTAATATGGAGAGTGGGAAAGCCGTGTACGATATGTTCACCACTTTATTCTACTTAAGACCAGATATGGGATGTCAGACAACACTGTATTGCGCTCTCGAGGAAAGTCTCGACAATGAATCCGGATTTTTCTATAAGTAATATATTTTTGTTGATTTGTTTGTGGTTTAAATAATTGATTTTAATTTACTTTCCGACAGTAACTGCCGGCGCGACGAGTTGTGGGACAACGGAAAGGATGATAAAAGCGCTAAACTGTTGTGGGATTTGAGCTGCGATTTAGTGAAACTAGAAAATCATCTCATGATTGCTGATCGCAAATAGTTGTCAAATGTTATCATAAAGTTTTCAAGTATTATCATACAATAATACAGTATACAGTGTATAATGTTTACTTTGGAAAGTTGACCACTAATTGTCTTCATAAATTAATATTGTTGATTATAATTAAATATACAGTATAACTTAAAATGATAAATGTAAAAATGTAAGTTTAAATAAAACAAATTTTTGTAATTTTATTTTTACTCGACGGTAAATACGGTAATAGCATACTGTTACATGTAAAGCTAAAATTCAAAATCAATTTGAAAACAACAATCTATGAGTTTAGGACATTTGCACTCAAATTCTATATAATTGTCGGTATGTTCTGAACTGCACTCAAATTCAATGTTATTGTAATGTATTTTACTTTTGTTTTAATAACAAGAATCATGAATGTAAAAATCAATACAATAATTCTTATTGGTATTAAAAAATAGCTATAAATACTTATTAAAATTTCTAAATTATATTTAGTCGTGTCTTAAAAGACATTTATGAATCTCACTATTATACTTAAATACAATAAGTTTTCCTCATATTAAACTTGAAGTTTAGTAAAAACTATAATTATTTAGTAATAGAAAATCAAATCTAAAATAATCTCTTTAAAGTTTTAAAAGATTTGTGTTCTTATATAATAGTTTTAATAAAGTTGCTCACTCATCAGTGATTTGAGTATAATCTATTTGTGATAATATGTCCCATGTCAAATTCTTGGGTGCAGTCCTCAAGGAATTCTCGCAAAATGTGTTTGGATTGAGGAATAAATGTGAGAGCACTCGACNAAAATGTGTTTGGATTGAGGAATAAATGTGAGAGCACTCGACAACTTGATGGTCAGGTTGTGGTGATAACCGGTGCCAACACTGGTATCGGTAAAGAGACTGCACTTCAACTGTCACTTCGAGGAGCGAAAGTATGAATTTATAATTAGGATTAAAATCTTATAGAAAATGATATTTTAAATACCTATTTACCGGTAATAGATAATAATTGGCTGTCGAGATATGAGTAAAGCTAACGGTGCTATTGATGATATTCGAGCCAAGAATCCAAAGGCAAACATAATTGCAATAAAACTGGATTTGTCTTCATTGGCATCGGTTCGCGAGTTTGCGAAGAATGTGTCACAAAATGAGTCCAATATAGACATACTTATCAATAACGCGGGGATTGGGATGTGTCCCGAATGGCAGACCAAAGATGGATTTGAAATGCAATTCGGAACCAATCATCTAGGTATTTATTTTAATTAGTAAAAAGTTATAAGATTATATTGATTCGTAAAATAAATATTTACGGACAGAATATTCTATCTAATCATCATTTATCCCAAGGAAAGTTAATGTCCAATATTTCAATTAATGGTTGATTTTTAATTTTAGGTCACTTTCTACTGACTCTCTCACTGTTACCACTGTTGCAAAAGTCACCCAAAGCTAGGGTTATAACCGTGTCGTCCAATACCCATAAACTGGCAAAAATCGATTTCGAAAACATAAACCTACGAAACGGCGCCTACTCTACAATGAAAGCCTACAAACAGAGCAAATTGTCCGGTGTTTTGTTCATCCGAGAACTGGCCAAACGGTTGGGCCCATCGAGTACTGTCACCACTTATGTCTTACATCCGGGAACTATTAAATCGGACCTCTCGAGGAATATGGAGAGTGGGAAAGCATTGTATGGTTTGTTGACAACTTTACTCTACATAAAGCCTGATATGGGATGTCAGACAACACTGTATTGCGCTCTCGAGGAAAGTCTCGACAATGAATCTGGATTTTTCTATAAGTATTACAGTATAATATACTATACATTAAATATTGAGATATTTTTATGAATTGTTTGTTTTTTGACAGCAATTGTCTTCGCGACGCCTTATGGGCCAACGGAACGGATGATAAAAGTGCTGAAAGACTATGGAATCTAAGCTGCGATTTGGTTCAACTCGAAGATCACCTCAAACTTCCCTCAAAAGTCACTAACGCCTGGGATAACAAATGAACACTTCATTTGACAGAAAATATACAAATTTCTAAACAGTACTTACGAGTTAGTATTTATTACATCCAGTATTATATTTAATTATACTGTATTAAATAACAAAACATAACAAAATACATTTTTAATGTAACTTATTTTGATGTCTTCTCAACTTTCTAAATGTATATATATCTATGTATCTATGTATCTATGTATATATATATACGGTAATTAAACATTATTTGCAAACACTATTTAAATTATATAATCATATTTATAATTGTTGTGACTATTTCAATATTTATAAACAGTTATAAATTATGACAAAGCATTGCTTGTATTCTTAATCAGGATTTGTAAACACCATTGGCTTTACGGTAATTAACTAATAATTCTAATCTATTTATACGATAATGTGTTTAATATATATTAATTTTAAATGTATTCATTAGTTGGGATTAATTGTCAATTAGAGTATTCATTATTGATATATTGCGGTAAAACATAAACATAATTATAATCTTTAATATCATCAGTCATTTGAGCAATTATTTGAAATTCTGTAACAAAAAAGAGTACAAATAAATGATATGTTAGGAAATGTATGGAAAAATGCATACCTGAGCGAACTCGACCACGAGGATCAGATTGCCATACCGGTGCCGATTGACTAACTGGACGGCCATTTCGGCGGAGCACCTGCTCTCGAATGAGACGAATGCGAACCCCTTGGAACGGTTGGTCACCTTATCCTTAGCCAAATAGATCCTGGTCACTTTGCCAAACGCTTCCCTTGGGAACAGTTCCCTCACGTCATCGTCAGTCATCTCTTCGGGAAGGTTTGTCACCCGAACGGTCGCCTCATCCCTGTCCCGCTTCCAACCCATATCCGAGTCGCCCGCGCGTCGATCGGCGCCGGCCCTCATCGACGGCGGTATATATTTAGCCGCCTTTTCCTCCGGCGCTGTCTTTGCCGCCGTTGAGGAGGTCGTGGTATCGGCGGGTCTGTTAAGTGCCGCCAACTGATCCTTATAGGGACACTGCAGCGACCAGTGACCTAACCCGCAGTGACTGCACTTAACCATCCCTTTCCCACTCGACTCCATGCGCTTCCAGGGGTTCTCCTCGTGAGTGGTGTCCACGGCCTCAGCGCCGGTGCCGTTGCTGTAGTTGTTGTAGTAGTTGTGGTGACCAATGAATTGAATGAACACGTCTTCGGCGGCAATAGTGGTGGCGCTGTGAGGGCCGGGCGGGTCGGCCACCGACTGTCCAAACTTGCGCCACTTGGTCCGTGTGGACACACTTTTGGACATTTTCATGGTCTGGTAATAGCGGGTGACTCGACACCGCTGTCCCCTCTCGTTGCGCGCCATATGAGTGGTCACTCGACTCCAGATGTCGTCCCCTTTGGACGGCTCGCGAGGTTTGGTGTCTTCGGCGATCATCGCCATCAATGACTGGTCTATAGATTGCGTCCAATCGGTGGTGTCGTCCGACTGGTTGTCCATCTCTGTGGCCCAACACGTGATGGACCGCTGCTTCGCGTTCTTCGGCTTCGTTTGGCTCATAGTTGTCGTGTCTTTGGCTTTGGGATCAATTGATGTGATCATTGAGTGTTTGGTTTGTTATTTGTGTGCAAAACGTGTGAATAATGCGTGAATTGAGTCATACTTTTCACTGCAAAAGCATTGCATTCACTGTTCACTCGTTTACTCATTCAATGAATCAATGAATGAATGAATGAATCAATGAATGCATTGAAAGTGAAGTAAACTTTTAATTCATAAGTGTTTTACAACTTATTTACAACTTATTAGAAATTATTTAAATAAATTGAATATGAAATTAATCTATAAGTAACACAGGACTTAAACAGACCACACATTTTTTATATGATTTTGCTAATATTTTTTATCTATATTAATATCTATAGAATCTATCATAAAAATTATATCATACATGTATGACCTATCACCTATTCTTTAATTCACTCAATTTGAGTTTATTGTAAATGACACTTGAATGGCCATTATTTCGAGATTACATTGGGATTAATGAACATTAATTTGTAATTTATTGTTACTTAAAATTGTATGTATGTACTTAATCTAATTTAATTTGTAAGTTTTGTGAGGTCTAATAATTATAATTTATAAGTAACATAATAATAATATTATATATTAATAAAACATAAAAATATGTTTACAATGTAAACTATAAAATGAGATGCAATTACTTCTTAAAATATATAATTTTTGCTCATTTGCTTCAATCAAACAAATAAATTAATCTATAGATTTGTTTCAGCGATTTCTCATTATATAAACACTTTTTGTCATTTGCAATCAAATGTCAAATTAATTATTTGCCAATAAAAGCAAATGAAGCCATAAATGAATACACGTTTGAAACCCTTTTTCACTGGAAATGCATTACACAAGCAATTATTTTTGAG